TCCGCCGGCCCCGCGCGCCCCGCTCCTAACGACGCCGTCCGCAACTCCACCTCGGCTCCGGCGCCAGCTTCCCGCCTCGGCGCGCGACTTTCGGAAATCCCGCCAAGCTCCACGGCCGCTTCGCGCCTGCGCCCGCGTGACGTCATCACGCCCTGCCCGGACACGCCTTCTCGCCACTTCCGCCTCGCTCGCCGGCCCGATGGTGAGCCCGAGGAATTGGAGCCTACCTGGGACCGCGAGGGACGTTCCTCCTCTCCCACTGGGCTGCCTTCTCCTCAGGAAAAACAGGCCGAGGACTGCCAGTCCCAGGAGGAGCTGCGGTTGGCCCCGGGACTACATCTCCCAGAATGGACCGCTGCGAGCGCCCGGCCCCGCCCCCGCCGCCGGGGCCGCTCGTGGACTGTTCGGTCGCGGGCTGCGCTCCGAGCCGCGGGCAGAGACGAGCACGCCAGAGCTGCGCTCGCTCCGTGCGGATCTGCGGACCCGGCGGAGGAGGCCGGAGGTTTGCTAAGCAAATTAGATTGCGGTGTACCTGAACGCCGGACGCGGGGCTCGGCAGCAGGACGGCCCGGGACCAGCACGCGGCTTTGACGGCTTCGCGTTCAGCCTTCAACTCCCACAACGTTCGTGAGAAGGGAAAACAAAGCAGACCAGGAAACGGCCAGGGGGCCCCGGGCCGGAGGCCGCGGGCTGCGGCTCGGGGTTCGGGGTTCGAGGCCCGCGCGGGCCCCGGGGCGGGCCGGGGAGAGGCCCCAGCGTCCTCGTCTGCACCATGCAGACGTGGTGGACTCCTGCGCTGGAGTGCCCTTGCAGAGCGGAAGGGAAGGGTCCGACTTCATTTCTCTTTGCCAGTCCTGGAGCTTGAACTCAGGGCCGGGGCGCTGCCCCTGAGCCTCTACCACTTGAGCCACAGCGCCACTTCCGGCTTTTTTCTGTTTAGGTGGTACTGAGGAATCGAACCCAGGGCTTCATGCATGCTAGGCAAGCACTCTCCCACTAAGCTACATCCCCAGCCCCCCAACTTCATTCTTTTGCTTTCGTTTTGTTTTCCAGTGCTAGGAGCTGACCCCAGGACCTCATTCATTCTGGGCAAGCGCTTACTATTAAGCTATACCTCCACAACCTACTTGCACGTGGACACAGTTTTCCCAGCATCATTTATTGAAAAGTGTTTTTTTGAGGTCATGAAAATCTAAAATTAATTGTGGAAATAGTTCTGCACATCTGTGAATATACTAGAAAACCACTCAATTGAGTATTTTCAACGGTGAATTCTACAACATATATGTTGTATTTCAATAACGCTGACAAAAAAAGAGAGAAAAAGCCTCCAGATTATCGGTTCCTGATCCCTACGGCTAGATGTTTGTTAATTTCCATCCATGCTAGGAATAGGATCCAGACCCTTGCTATTGCTAGGCAAGTACGAGTGTACTCTATCATGCCCAGCTCGAGATGGGGGTCTTGCTAACTCCCCCGTGATGGCCTCAAATCCTCCTTATAATTACCTCTTCAGTAGCTGTGATTACAAGCATGAGCCATTACCCAGCTTTAGAAGGAAGTTTCTATGGTAAAAATTCAAAGATCTACATGATCTTTTATTTTTCATTTTTTGGAGGTATGGATTTGAACTCTTGTACTCTTGCTCTCTCATGGCTAGAGTTCTACCTCTTGCACCAGGCCTCCAGTTCAACTTTTCGGGTTAATTGGAGGTATGAGTCTCATGGACCTTTCTGCTTGGGTTGGCTTGTAGCTGCAATCCTCACATTTCAGCCTCCTGAGTAGCTAGGATTACAGGTGTGAGCAACCAGTGCCTATAATTTAATTTTTTTTTCTCCTTTCTCTTCCCTCCCTTCCTTCCTTCCTTCCTTCTCTTTCTTTCCAAGATGGGACTCAAACTCAGTATCTGATGCTTCTTTTCATTCATTGGCTGGCACTCTACAACTATAATTACGCCTCTAACTCCTAAAATACTTTTTTTTGTTGGTTGTGGGGTTTGAACTCAGAACCTGAGCACTATCCCTGAACTTTTTTGCTGAAGGCTAGTTTTCTACCTCTTTGAGTCACAGCTCCACTTACAGTTTTCTGGTGGTTAGCTGGAGTAAGAGTCTCACACTTTCTTGTTCCAGCCCGCTTGCAACCTCTATTCTCAGATCTCAGCCTCCTTAGTAGCTAGGATTACAGGTGTGAGCCACCAGTGCCCGGATCTAAAATACTCTTAATAAAGAAACATTACTTATAAAAGATTTCAAAGTAATAAACTTTACTAATGCAAAAAACAATCTCCTTTCCAATCCCTGAAAAACATACAAAAATTTACGAAAATGTCAAACACTTTGAACAAAGGAAAACACAAATACCTATATAAACATTACAATTACATAGTCTGAACCCAAGAGAACAGAGATGATCACATCATAAACCAAATCACTCTTTGAGCAGTATAAATAATAAAACAAAACCTAATTTTTAGATGTAAAAATAAATCCAGTAAGAAAGCTAACTTAAGTTTCATGGAAAACAGACCATACAACTTTTAAAAAAGTGTTTATGGAGTTTAAGTTTTAAGGAACATCATCTTAGTCGTGATTTTTATGTTAGGGAGTTTTGTGTTGACTTATGAAACTAAAAGCTGATTTGATCTTTCGCTACATAGCTGAGAAGTAAAACTAGTAAGGAGGAAAGACAACATTCATGGGACTAATATAACTTTAACCTGATCCTAAAGTAAAAAGCAAAAATTTAAGACAAATTAGCCTAGAATGTAACTCTATTTAATTTAGAATATAAAAGATTATCATGATTAAGATTTGACTAAAGTTGGGCAAAAGTTCTTTTATATTTGTCTATCTCAGAGGTAATACTGCTCACAGATATACTTGGTTTAGTGTGAGAAAAGATGTGGCTTCAGGAACCAATCAATCAGTAGAGTCAGTTTTTTTATCACTGTCAGAAACCACTGTTTTGAGTGTGAAGCTGTTTAGGATGTCATTATTTAATAAAAGGTTGAGAATCTCACTATGAAGCAAGCATGCTTTAGAAAAATGCAAACTGCTCATGCTTCTAGAAGGCTATTATTTCCTTATTATATATCACAGACACAAAAACATGAACATATTTACATGTATGTAATGGGCCCAAATCAGCTTTCCCTGGAAAACTGAACTGATTAAGAAAACATTAATATACACTACAGATCAAACAGCAAAGCCCTCAAGGAAAGGCACCATTCCAGTAGCAGAGTATTATTGCTTTCTCTTAGTATTTCTCAAATGTAGAAAAATGACTAGTAGTTTACAGATAGATATATTCTCATTTGTGTTGCACAAACTATGTTGTCCATCCTGGTCTTGAACTCATGGGCTCAAGTGGTCCTCCGTGTTCAGGCTACTGATTGCCTGTGTGCTACCACTGGAGGTAAATGCCAGATGTTTCAATTCCAAAGTATCTGCTAGGCAGAAGCCAGGCTCCCTAAAACTCCTATCTCTAAGTTTGTGGAAAGGGCTCATTTCTTTGTCAATAGTAATACCTCTGAAAAAGAGAACACCACTGTAGTTAATGGAAATTTTCTCTATGTGTCACACTATGTAATCTTAGGTAGAAAAATAAGCAAGTTGATAGCAAGCTATTTGAGGCTTTTTATCTTTACTAACTACAGATATAAAAACCATGCAGATTAACTATAACATCATCAGGAGGAATTTTACTAGTCTTCTATGACATAAAGACAAATGTAAACCAGTAACGCAGCTCGTGACATAATATTATGGTTTTTTGTTTTGTTTGCTTGGGTTTAGAGACAGGGTCTCACTATGTAACTCAGGATGGCCTCAGACTCACTGTGTAGCAATAGGCGGACCTCAAATTCATGTTCTTCCTGTCTCTTGAGTGCTGGGATTACAGACATGCGCTACCATATCTGGCTAAGGACATTTTTTTCCAGCAGTGGCCTGTGGGTCTAGCAGGAGAAATGACAGTCCTGAAGTAGATCTTGGTAAATCTGCTTGACTATATTCTTCAAATAGTTGTCTTCTAATGGCACTTTAGACATAATAGTAGCAATTTCATCATGTCTGGAAAGAATAAAAAGTTATTTAATTTTCTGGAGCCTTATGTTAGTCTCCCATTCAGTTTTAAACATGTTCTTGGACACCATCTCTCAGTTTCCTAGGAAGCACAAATGGCATTTCTAGAAATAAGCAGTCTAGTTGAAATGGGCCTCAATACAATCTGTATGTAATTGAGAGCCACCTTGACCCAGTTGTTCTTTTTAGCTATAAGATTCTTTTAGTGCTTATTGATGGATTTAAAACTGGTACCTTTCAAACATCTCCCAGTCTGTCAGCAATGTATCTAAAATGTCATAATACTGATGATAGAAAAGTAGGAATGACTGCCCATGTAATTGTAACCCCTCTGTACAGTATCTTCACAAATAAAATAAAATTAAAAAAAAAAGAAAAGTAGGAATGAGATGTTTATAGATCTAAGTATTGTGAATGTACAACTTTCAAAGTGCATATTCTGCTTTTTTTATTTTTGGATCCGGTCGTGGGGCCAGAACTCTGGGCCTGGGCGCTGTCCCTCAGCTCTTCAGCTCAAGGCTAGCGCTCTACCACTTGAGCCACAGCACCACTTCTGGCTTTTTTCTTTTTGCTTATGTGGTGCTGAGGAATCGAACC